CTAGTGGGCACTCTGTGGCGGCACCATACAAGACCTGGGGTAGTATTCTCGAGTCACGAATATAGATTCGCATGCGAGATTTATGATTTATCTCACTTGGTTTTCGTTCAACAAAGTGAGACACATTGTAAAACACGTATGCGAATGTCGGTATTCGTGATTCGAGAATACTACCCCGACATTCGCATACGTGTTTTACAATGTGTCTCACTTTGTTGAACGAAAACCAAGTGAGACAAATCATAAATCTCGCATGCGAATCTATATTCGTGACTCGAGAATACTACCCCAGGGGTAGTATACTCGAATCACGAATACCGACATTCGCATACGTGTTTTACAATGTGTCTCACTTTGTTGAACGAAAACCAAGTGAGACAAATCATAAATCTCGCATGCGAATCTATATTCGTGACTCGAGAATACTACCCCTGGGGCCTTAGGCCCGTATTTATAAACAGAACTTACGTGAGCCGGACTTGGGTAAGTCGTCTTTGAACTAAAATCGAAATTCGATTATAACGTCTCTATAGTTCGAGGTGGTTCCGGTGTTACACTGGAATTTGGAGATGGCTATTAGAAAATCTGTAACTGTTATGTTCATTTACGGATTTGTTACTACCCATCTCTAAATTCACGCGATATAACCGAACTTCGATTTTCATTCAAGGACGACTTACTCAAGTCCGACTCAGCTGAGTTTTGTTTATAAATACGGGCTCAAGCTAATACTTGACTGGATACGCATAAATTAGAGGCTGTAACAAAAACAAGAAGAAATAGTAACAAAACGTATCCACTCCGACTTACACTGTGTCATTCTTGACAGTGACAGAACATAAAATTGATTAACTCGGATTCGCATATCGAACAGAGTTATTAGTTTTCAAATAAATCAAGTTTGTTTTGGATGATTTGCGTTTCGTTTTTGTTCAGTTTATAAGTTTGTCGCTTTGATTTTTCTAGAAGGTACGTCAATTTTATAATTTAACGACCCGAAAATCCTTTTCAAAGGTATAAAAATTTCACATATTTTTAAAATATCGGAATAGTTTTCCTTGGATTCCCGGTTGATAACCTCGTTTTATTACATGTGCCATTTTTCAGGTAAAAAACTGTCATTTGTATATTTTCTACAGATCGTGTAGTTAGTATAATAGTCGATTTTAAAAGAAATATATGTCAGATTCCGGCAGGTCCGCAAACGGATATAGTCTGTTGGATATAATTTGGCTCGCTCTTGGATACGTAGCGTTCCTCTTCAGCTAACTATTCAGATTGTATTTTTGTTTTCAGGATGTTTAGCACACAATTAGGAAACTTCCCAGTAAGTACTCGTTAGTAGGTAACGATTTTTTTAGTATAATTTCAGTGTTAATTTTTCAAACAACTAGTTCGCAACCGCCAAGATCAAGCAGCCGGACAACTCTAACTCCAATAATTTACCGAACAGAGGCATGGAGACGAACAACGGCGCTGGGGATAGCAATCAGAGCCTAATCGACAAGACCAAGTTGATTGTTAATTACATACCGCAATTTGCGACTGAAGATGATCTCGCGACGATATTCGCGCCCATCGGTAGGGTTGAAAGCATTAAGATCATGAGAGATTATAAGACTGGTTATAGCTTTGGATTCGGTTTTGTCAAATATGCTTTGCCTGAGGATGCTACCAAAGCTATTGAAGTACTGAATGGGTATAACTTTAGGTAAGTGGTCATTTATTATCATTGGCAGTTTATTGAATCATTTTATGTATATTTGAGTACCTGGACCTCTTTTCTGTTATGAAAAAACTATGCATACATACGTGTAGGTATTCAAATCAAAATAGCTTGATTGTACAAAGATTTACATCTCATTGACAAAGCGAATAATGTATTTATAAAAAGAAGGAAAACAATGTAAAGTATACAGTGTAAAAAATAAATACATGAAATAGGAAGTGTATAAAAACAATAATACCTAAATATTTTATTTTCTTTATTAATTCAATTTTTTGGTTTCCTAAATAAATTTTCAAATTATTATTGTTAAAATCATAATATTTGGTGTTCCCTAATTTGTTTAACACTATCTAAAAGTTGATTATTGATTGTGTAGTCAAGATAATGAACTGTTGAAAATGATGGAACTGAATAATGTGACATTTTCCTACATTTAAATCCATGCTGTTGTATTTACACCAATCTGATAAATAATTAATATTAGACTGTAAATTAATAGCATTTCCAAAGTTGTTGACAATTTGGAAACATGTTAATCATCTGCAAAAAATAAGAAATTACTGTGCTGAAAACATTGATTTAGTTGCTGATATTTCTGTATCATCTGTGAATAAGTGGATAAGTCAAATTTTAGTAAAAAAGAGATTTTCATATATCTATAATTCTTTTTCCATTATATATGTTGAATAAATAAGTAATCTTTGAAAAAGCAATGTAGTTTGTTTTGTTAACATTCAAAGACATTTTAAAAACATCCAGCCAGTTTTTGACATGTTCCATTCCAGCTATAGCATGTGTCTTGACAGCTTTCCAATCTTTATCACTGAAGACTAGCACTGTATCATCAGCATATATGATACAACTTTACCTTGAATATCAATCTGAGTTAAGCTCTTAATTAAATAGTATAGGTCCCTGAACAGTTCCTTGAGGCACTCCGATTTGTATATTTTCAGGGATACCCACATTGTCTCTGATATTTGCCTTCTGTTGTCTGTTTTTCTAATATATATGGTTTTTATTTCAACTGTTATGTCATTCTGTTTCACAATGGATTTGTCAATTTTTTCCCTGTTCATATTCTCTGTAAAATTGCAGATTTTCTTTCTGGGTCTTCTCATTTTTGTCAGATCTACATCATATGAATTTTTTAATTTATCTTGAACAGCTTTTTCCAGAATTTCAGCTTCTTTTTTTGTGTGACAAGTATAATGGAACCATTCTTTCCCATCTTTAATTATTTCACTACAACTTTTAAGTCAATTAGGTTAATATTTGTTCCTAAATCTGTCTTTGTTTTGTTTCTACTCTGTAGTACAATATTTTTCTCTTTTTCTTCAAATTCTTTAATTTTCTCTTGAAGCATTTTTATTATTTTATTTTACTATTTATTATTTCATCTTTACTTCTTATTATTTCATCCTTATCTTCATTAGTCTTTAGAAAATCAGTCAGTTCATAATTCCTACATTTTGAAGACTAGCACTGTATCATCAGCATATATGATACAACTTTACCTTGAATATCAATCTGAGTTAAGCTCTTAATTAAATAGTATAGGTCCCAGAACAGTCCTTTGAGGCACTCCGATTTGTATATTTTCAGGGATACTCACATTGTCTCTGATATTTGCCTTCTGTTGTCTGTTTTTCTAATATATGTGGTTTTTATTTCAACTATTATGTCATTCTGTTTCACAATGGACTTGTCAATTTTTTCCTTGGTCATATTCTCTGTAAAATTGCAGATTTTCATTCTGGGTCTTCTCATTTTTGTCAGATCTACATCATATGAATCTTTTAATTTATCTTGAACAGCTTTTTCCAGAATTTCAGCTTCTCTTTTTGTTTGACATGAAAGTATAATGGAACCATTCTTTCCCATCTTTAATTATTTCACTACAACTTTTAAGTCACTTTATATTTGTTCCTAAATTTCTTTGTTTTGTTTCTACTCTGTGGTATTGTTTAATAATAATTTTTGGAGGGTTAGGTTTTCATTCATTGTCTTCTTTTTGTAACTTCACCATATCAGTATAAGAAATGGTAGGTACAATATTTATCTCTTTTTCTTCAAATTCTTTAATTTTCTCTTGAAGCATTTTTATTATTTTATTTTACTATTTATTTCATCTTTACTTCCTATTATTTCATCCTTATCTTCATTAGTCTTCTTTATAAAATCAGTCAGTTCATAATTCCTACATTTTGCACAATGAAATTTCAGAATTCTAGTGTGTAGTGGTATACACCTAATTTCTGTGGTTGATAATTCAGAACATTGGTTGCAGTATAATCTTCTGCATCCATCACATGTAGAACATGGATATTTTTGTTCTTTTGTAGGCTGATGAGCATTTCATTGCCATTTTTCTTATTAAGTCATTTTCTTATATTTTTTTTGTGCATTTTAATGCAATTGATTTGCGAAAAATATGCAAAAGTATTTACTGCAAAGTCGAGTGTCTTTAGTTAGCTTAAATCAGTAAATAGTTATTTTTGTTCACAAAAAATTATACGTCCTATTTTTAAAATAAAACGCTGGTTGATCTATAAGGTATTAAAACTACCCAAAACACTTTATTTGCGATATATGGAAGGTTTTCTTTATAAAATTGGATTCTTAATGGAGATTTAAGAAAAACTTTTCAAATTATTAATGATTGGATACTGAGATCTAATACATTCTGCAACTCTATTAATACCGTGAGCCACACACGTTATATGGATAAGGTGCTCATAAAATTTTTTTAAATTTTGTGCCACTTCAATCATATAAGGGGCAGCATATAAATTTACTAGAAGGGACAAAATCTGGTAAAAAAAAGTTAATCATGTACAAATCTAGTGTTTTTTCAAGGTGCTTGGATGATACAATGTGTGCTATCCTTGGTTTATCTTCATGTAGAACTCCAATTAAAAAATTTGCCACGAGAATCAGTGGTTTCATCAATTACAGTATAAAAGTTGTTATCAGATATAATATTTTTTTATATACACCATTGTGTCTTTATATATACAATGGACATGCTTTTTTCTTAGTGTAGATTCATCTGGTACATTGAACTTGCAATAATTTTGCAAAAATGATTTTAAATTTATGGTGATGTAAATCTCATTCAATTAGAAATTGTAGTTTATCTGCATCACCTGTTAAAAATTTTATTTTGTTTTCAAAAAAATCGCACTTCTTGCACAAATCTTTTATTTAAGCGTGGAAATGAAGGTTAAATTTTTTAAAAAATACTTTCAAGTTCCATTTCTTTTTTATAAAGTTTTCCAAGACTTAAATCTGGCACTAAATACTTTCTGTGTGGGTTACTAATACGTAAAAATAGCATCTCTGGACATTGAGTTAAGACATTTTGTGAAATATTTTATTTAAAAAAATTAATTGTGCTGTAATTATTAATTTGCACAAGATATGGAACAAAATATATTTTTTGTTTAAATACTTATATCTACAAATTTGTATGCACAGTTTTTTCAGGAGCAAATAATCAAAACTGTATAAGTAGATTTGAGGTTTTATACAATTTTTCAGGTTTTTTAAAGTTGTTTAGATATCTCAAAAATTATTATTAATAAAGATAGACAAAAAATGAGAGCAAAACTTAATAAAATTATTTACAAACTTATATTAAAAAAAAAAAAAACAAAAAGTGAACTATAGGAATATTTTTTTAATTGTCACAGATACTAATCAAAATTAGGAAGTTCATCAATGGTAAGCTTTGATACCTACTTGTCTGTATTTGTTTTTATATAGGTACACTAATTTTTGTACTGCTTCTGCTGTGAGTTGATTTCTGTACTTTTAATTCTCAATATTTATCTTTAAAAACCTAAAATGGTAGAAATTTCACTTCTAGGTTTTATAAAACTAAAAAATCTAGGTGCCAAAAGAAACCTGTACCTGCTAACTCTGAAGCAGAAGCTAGCAGACAAACTTTTAAAAGTTTCTATATTATTTAATATTTTACTGATGTACTGAATTATTGGTATAAAAACTGTATTTGGAATTTCGTTAAATATTGTTTTTTGCTATTTTGAGAAAGTAGTAATTATCAGCAAAGTCGCGTGACTAAAAAACTGTATTTAAAGGCCTTCCTATTTAATAATTTATTATTTCTTTGATTGATAGTAATTTCTTGAAAATTGTATATGGAATCTCGTGTTAAATATTTTTTTCTATTTTAATAGAGTAATATTTATCCGCGAAAATGCGCGATTTTAAAGTTTTAAAAAATATATTTAGAGATCTTGCTATTAAATGATTTTTTTATTTATTTATTGACAAGTGTAATAAATCATTGTTTTTTACTTTCCTATCTGTATACAGATATAAGGAAAGTATAGGAATCATGATTTTTTTCGACCTCTTTTCGACGGATTTTTACGTTTGAGGTCCCCTGAATTCGTTTTGACTATTTTCGCGATGATGTCTGTGTGTCACATAACTCATGAACCGATGCACAGAAAAACACCAAATTTTAAACTTAAGCTTTTTTCCAGCTTCCAATGAACTGATTAGATTTTGAGCAGAGTCGGAACATCGGGGGGGGGGGGGGGTACTTTATAAATGGTCATTTTTATATTTTATGGAATATATCTGTTATTTACGTTTAGAAAAGAAAATTCTTCAAATAAAAGTTACTTCTAATATTATTATCTATAATTTTTGTTCCATAAAAATGTTTCCTAAAATGGTCCGTATTCGAGAAATTTAACAAAATGTAAAAAAATATTTTTTATAAAAATTGTTCAAATAAAAGTTGTTTGTAATATAATTCTGTATAATTTTTATCCTATACCTAATTTCTCTAAAATGGACCGTATTCAAGATATTTGAGAAAATGTGTAAATTTCGAATTTTGCAGAAAACTCAAAAACGGATAAAGAAAAAAACGTTAAATATTAAACTTAAGTTTTATTTCGACCTGACGTAAAATGATTAAATTTTGGACAAAGTCGGAACATCTGGGGGGTACTTTATGGGAAGCCGTTTTTATATTTTATGGAATATATCTGTTATTTATGTTTGGAGAAAAAAATTGTTCAAATAAAAGTTACTTTTAATATTATTATCTATAATTTCTGCTTGATGTCAAAATTTCATGAAATGGTCCGTATTCGAGAAATTTGACAAAATGTGCAAAATTCTGATTTTTATGAAAATTGTTGAACTAAAAGTTGTTTGCGGTATCGATCTCTATAATTTTTGTTATTACAAGATTTTTCTAAAATGGACCGTAATGAAAAAATTGTAGGAAATTTAAATTTTTCAGTATTTTCGTTTTTATTGAATATCTATAGAAAAATGTTTCAAGGTAGATGTATGTGGAAAATGTATATATTTAGTTTATCCTCTAAACATTTATAGAGGTGCTGCAATAGGTTGAACAAAATAACGGAAAAAGCCTATAATAACTAGATAGGAAAGTCATGTGTTGGACACATCAGATTTTTTTTTAAATGGTAGTAAATGTGTTTTTTAGCCTTTTTGTCATATTATCATAGTCTTTTGACAAAAAAATCTTGTCTTTAAAAAGTAAAATACATATGTATGTACAGGGTGATTCAAAATTGAATACAAAGATTTTAGGGGCAAAATAAGAAAAGTTAAAAAAAAAATACTCAAAAACCTTTCAGTCGATTTAAATAAAATTTGGTAGGCTTATTAGTCGTCATAAGGTCCTTCCTTTGTATTAATTCCAGTGGCGTCACAGGGGGCTACTTGATACTTATTGATCAAATTATGGTACGGCACTGCTTTTTTGGCAATTAACATTTTTTTTTAGATTAAACAGTCAATAATGTAATTTTTTTGCCTTTTGAGCTTCTTTACTCGTCCTAGCTTTATATCCAAGAATTAAAAAATCAAAATCTGTGCCTGATTCTATTAAAATAGGTAAAAAAAAATCTGCTTTTCTATATATGTGTTAAATTTTAAAAAATTAAATATTTCTCAATAATTGATGTGAATTTATTATTTGTTTTAATAGGGCCAGGCACAGATTTTTTCTTGGAAACAAAGCTCAAGAACAAAGAAAGTTACATTATTGAAAAAAGTTTCATTGTCAAAAAAGCAGTGCTGTACCATAATTTTACCTATAAGTATCAATTAAATAGGCCCGAGACGCTACTGGAACTAATAAATTTATTTTATTCTCACCAAAGGAATGCCCTTATGAGACGACAAATAAGCCTACTAAATTTTATTTAAATGGTTGAAAGGTTTTTTTAAATAATTGATAAAAACGATTTTTTTTTTTTTTAACTTTGTTATCTAGCGAACGAATCAAGTTAGGGCATATGATTATTTGAAAAAAATTTCTTATTTTTGGCTAGTAAATACGCCCTTAAAATCTTTGCAATCAATTTTGAATCACTGTATTTTGATTCATTAATTTAATAATAATTTATTAATTTAATATCAATTTAATAATAATTTAATATTAAATAATTCATTTTTTATTTATTTGTAATTTTTCTTGATACTAAATCACATCTAAATCAAAAATTTTATTGAAAAACAATATCGAAACTTTAAGGGACCATCTCTGCTAGCTTCAGCCTCATTATAGAGAGTTAATGTGCATTTTAATCCAAATCTATTTCTATACTATCAAGATTTGATTATTTATTTAATTTCAGAAATAAACAGGAAATAGCCTAATTACATGTTTCTACAATATTATTAACAAAAAAAGAAATCAATAAAAAATACACAATATTTAATTAATAATTTGAAATTATTTTGAAAAACTTTTCCCAAATTGGTCATTTTTGATACTCTCTCTAGTGCTGATCCTTGCATTGTGTAAATAAAATTTTGAGCATTATGTATTTTGAATTTTACATTTGGAAAAATTAAAAAGTAATTTTTTTCCAATGACCAATCCGAAATTGAAAGGTCTAGATAATCATTAAGGGTGAAGATTTTTTTTAAAACTTTTAGATCATCTGCATACATCAGGCAGTCTGATGTAATACGTAGAGAGAGATCATTGACAAATATTAAAAAAAAGTAGAGGGTCTAAATTGGAGTCCTGAGGGACACCAGAGCCAGCACGGATTGTATGAGATATTTCACCACCAAACATTAAGTACTGAGACCTAAAGCTGAGATAAGATGAAAAGAATTTTATTAGGTGATCGCTAAGATCATAATATTTCAATTTAGCTAGGAGAATATTGTGATTTACCTTATCAAAGGCTTATCTACAGATTTTTTACGGCAAAATCCGTGCTTTTTGGTTGATATGTATTTTTTAAAGTACGCATATAGTTTATTACAAATTCAAAAAGTTTTTCTGTACAATTTAATATGGCTATCAGCTATCCGCGTTTGAAATGTTTTAAATTTTTTGTTTCCTTTATTTTTGTTTTAATTTTGTTTCACATCATTTAACATCTCTTGTGACAAGTCCAAAAATGTGTCAGAATGCCTTCAAAATACTTTTTATAGACCAGAAAATAAGTAAACAAAGTAATTTAATCAAGTAATTCCAAAATAATTGCTTACAATGTTAAATGGCTATTAGCATCACTCAAAATATTCAAAGTTAATAAAACAATGTTCAAAAAAAAGTGCCATGGATGACCTTAAATTTTTTGTAATTCATTAAAAATAGTAATGCCATGAAGGTTGTAAAAAATTTAATTTTGAGGTCTATAATATACAAAGAAAATTAAAACACTTTCCATTTCCCCAAACAAATCCGCCACTGTAAGAATTAAGTCAATTAGGTGCATTTATTATTATTTATGACCACCGCAGCTTGTATAAATTTAAACAATTTTTTTTTTTCAGTTTAGTGTTTACGATTTAGGTACGACATACGAAAAATCATGGAGCTGACTTTTACAGTTTTACTTCTTTGATATTCAAAATTACTTATTTCTTGATTTTTTTTACTAGTTTCAGTATCTACAACTGACGACTTTTGAGTACTTCATTCTAGATTATAAATCTTTGAGAATAAGATTTGTTTCTTAGACATTGAAGCATATTTTGACTTGATTTGAGGACAATAAAACTAACTGGTCTTTATACTATAATACCTGAACTCATAGGTTTTCAAATAATCACAAATTCTTGACAAATAAGTCTTAGAAGAAATTGTACATCATCCTTTCTTGATTTTGATTCATGTCATTTTACTTGTTTACAGAGCTAAAATTTTGAATCAGATTTTGAGTTCAATAATACTGTTAACATCGTCTTAAAAAGGAGAATATTTTGCAGAATAATTATGTGGTTTTAATAAAATATATTCTATAAAGTCCCTTGTATTTCGTTCACGTAAGTTCTTGAAGAAACAGATAAAAAAGTAATGGTACACCCTCTCCACTCCCCTGATATTGCCCTATGTGATTTTTTACTTATTTCCAAAGGTGGAAACTTAGCTAAAATTCCCCTGAATTGAATTTGCGGTACATGTTTTTGACGATATTTTCTTTCTTACATTCAGAAACAAACGGCTAAAAGTGTCTTACTCGAGACCGCCCGGAACCGACATGAAAGATTCCAATCTGTACATCACAAATTTGCCAAAGGATATTACGGAGCAGGGGGTCGACAATCTGTTTCGCGACTACGGCGAAATCGTACAGAGAACCGTATTGAAAGACAAAGTGACTGGAATGCCTAGAGGAGTCGCATTCGTAAGGTACGTATCAAATTTACGAATTATTTTATCGATGCGGCGTTTTAAAACATAACCTCAAATGCTAAAAACATTGTGACAATGTGTCAAGTGTCATCAGGGTTGCTAAATGTAATCTTGTATTCAAAAAACATCAAAAATAGAATATATATTTAATTTTACCGCCAAAATACTAAATGTACGTACACAAATTGGCGGGATTTTTAAATTATAATAAAGAAATTGACATTTTAAAATATAATATCAATTTTACGAAGGGGTAGTTTTTTGGAGATATCCAAAGAATATTATGTACGTAAATAACCGTTTGAAACTTTTAAGGTATTCGAAAGGGGAGGAGGCGCAAGCGGCCATATCGCACTTGCACGGGAAAATGTTGGAGAACGCCATGTTGCCGTTGAGCGTGCGCGTCGCCGAGGACCACGGCAGACAGAAAGCTCAGTATTTGGACGTGTGGGACCCGATGGGGTTCAACAGGGGTAAGGAATGAAGACATTGAAAATGATTTAAATAAGTGTTATTATTATTATTTCTCGGAATGTTTACTCCTTTTTTTAAGTTTGTACGTTTCTTAGGTTATGCAGGGTGTTGACCAGTTTAACAGTTGGGGAAGATAAAAGGCTAAGAATAGCGCCATCTCGGTTAATTGGTGATAAATTCGAAACGATTGCTGCAAATCGGTTACTATTTTGTTATATTCGCCCCCCCCAAATAGGCAAAAATTTGCTAGGTAGTTGTTCTTTAACAATTTTTCGTTTCTCTAGCTCTTATCTTTGTTTTCTACCATTAACATTGGTTTTATCTCGGATTGCTTTAATAATGATGTTTCCATCGATGATTTAACATTATTGTATGTGTAAAAACGTTTATGAACAATTCATTAGCGATTAAAAAGACAAGATTCATATTTATTAGATAATTTACGGGGTTCTTTAGATAGTTTGTTTATTTAACGAGAAAACTAAATTTTGTGTAAGAAGAATAATAATTAAAAAGATGCGGGTGCAAAAAATGGAAGGGCAGGATTATTTTAGGTTGAAATAAAAACAATTATGGGTTATTAATGTCTAAACATTTGACCCAACCATAGTTTTACAACGCCGTCAAATAAATGACAATGCTACGTTTTTGGAGTGTGCAAATAAAGGCAACCCTAGTTATTATTAAAGAAGAGGCTGCCAATTTTCTATTCTTCATTATCTCCTCCAATTCTTCTCTATATTTTAATTTCGTCTTCATTTTTTTTCTGTTGTTTAATCAACTTTATTTTTGTTTCCTGTTTTCCCATCATTTCTTATTTTTTTTTCCATTTATTAGTCTTTTATTTTCCCTGTCTTTCCTTCTGTTTTCTTCTTTGATATGTTTCCTATTTTGCTTTTTCTTTTTCGATATTTTTTAATTCTTCAATTTTCATTTTACTCTTATTTTACTTCCTAATACTTATTTCTTCTTGTACATTTATTTCTTTATTAATATGTTCTTTATTTGCTTTTATTCTTTCTTCTAACTTTTGACATCCATTTTCTTCATATTCTCCCTACATTATTTATCACTTCCTTTTATTTATTTATTTACTATATATTTCTATACCTCTATTTTCTTAATTATTACTTCATCTTGTTTTAACTCTTTTTATTTTCTCTATTCATTTCTTTTACTAATCTTACTATCTTTTCCATTTTTATCATCTCTTCTTTGTCTTTTCTTAAAAATTTCTTACATTTCTTCTAAATTTGTTAAATTGTTCTTTAGCTTCTCATCTATTTTCATCCATTTTTTTTTATTAATTTCCATCAACATTTGAATTGTCTTTTCTTCTTCCTTTTTCACTAATTGTGCTCAATTTCTATTGACTCCTGTTTTTCTCATTCAAAGATTATGGCTTCGTCGTTTTGATTTTCCATTTTAAACAGATATTCCCTTCTTACTTCTTCTGTTATTCTATCTGTTTTCTCCTATTCTTTTTCCCTATCTTAGATTTATTTAATTTTATAATAATTTTATCACTTTCAGAATTTAAATTTACACCAAACACCTTTATCTATCACCATACATCTAATTTATTGAAGGAAACTATAAAAAGTCTTATCCAAATTCAAAATATTCCAATTAATCCAAAAAATTTTGCCCCACGTTGGCTGGCGCCAATTGACATGGAATCACCTAGTATCCAAAATAATAAATATTTTTCCGAGACTCTTAAAAGGCTTAGTTTTAAAAATTTACAGAAAACAATCATTTTTAGTTTCTCTTCTTCGCTCCTCTGTTCACTGTTGTTTTCTGTTCTCCTGCCTGGTCTTCTATACATTCTCTTGTTACTCTTATTCCTCCTATGATCAATTCTCCTTTCTGTTATCTAATTCACATTCTTTTTATCTTTTGTTCTCGCGTTTTGCTTCTATTTTGTCGCAAATGGTGTCAATTGAAAACTGACAGCCTCCTATGGTTGCGTTTGTTTTCACTCGCCTCAAAAATGTTACACTGCAGTTTGTTGTTATGTTGACACTCATTTTGTGAAGGATACTTCTATTTTGACGCAATTGGTATCAAATTAAGGCTGACAGCTTCCTCTTTAACAATAACTAGGGTTGCCTTTGTTTGCACTCACTCTAAAAAGATGGTAACGAAGTTTTTTGTTATTTTGACGCGTGTTTTGCGAAGATTGCTTCTATTTTGACGCAACTGGTGTCAAATGAAAGCTGACAAACCTCTTCTTTGACATAACTAGGGTTGCCTTTCTTTGAACTTACTCCATAAATGTAGCACCGAAATTTGTTGTTATTTTGACTCCTGTGTAAAATCAAAGCAATGTACGTTGAAAAATATCAATAAAAATTTATAATATATTTTACTATCACAAATTATCTTTGTTTAAAAAGTTTGCGGGATGAAAATCAAACGTCCAGTATAATTTTTTTAATTAAATTTATTGAATTTTGCCCTCCAAATTACTATAAACAAAGTGTTTGAAGTGTAGATGTGTTTTTTTTTTATTTTTTTGTTTTTTTTTTGTTCTATCTATCTAATAAACAAAATACTTTCGAAATCCCATTGGTAAACAAATTTATACACTTAGAAAGATTTCAATGATTTACAAAATTAGTTGAAGAGTATTTTTTTTATATATTATATTATGAGCTTTTGTAGCATAAGAATATTTCAATATATATTTTTTTTAATCAATTTTTTTTTGTTCTTTTTATTTTTTTTATACAATTTTGTTTCTATTTTTTTTTTACAATTTTTATGTTACAAGAGTAAGTATAATAAACGTTTGCGAAAAAATTGTAAGAGTGGACTGTATATAAAAGGAAAATTTCGTTTTAGAATTGGACAGCGATGACGAACCGGACCCTGAAGAGGAATTGATCGAAGCGGTGTACCACAGAAAACCTTTATGGGATTTTTCGATACCGGAACACGAACGTACGCCGGAGAAAACCGAAAAATTATGGCGCGAAATCGTGTACAAATTCGAAGACAGATACTCCTTGGAGTTTCTAATCAAGAAATGGCGGCAATTACGAGACTCCTACAACGATCAACGCCGCAAACTCTTCGTCTACGTCCCGGGAGAGGATCCTCCGAAAGTGACGTTCTATTACTACGAATACATGCGATTTCTGAACGGCGAACCGACTAAATTCAGAAAACCGGTACCGAAACACCCACCGCCGCAGCCTACAACCAGCATGCAAATGACCGGGGGACCCCCGGCGATGAAGAAACCGAGAATATTGCCGCAAATGGTATCCCAACCTCCGATGCAAATGTTATCCAAAGCTCCGCCGCCGATGCTATCCAAACCGCCGCCGCAAATGTTGTCCAAACCTCCGCCGCAAATGTTGTCGCAACCGCCGAAAATGTTGACCCAGCCGCCGCCGGCGTTACCCCAACAGCCGCCCAGCGACGGCGTGGAGGGTTTCTTGAAGATGGTGGGCGAAACGTTGCGGTTGTTGCCGTTGAAAATGCGCACGAAAGTGCAAATTAAAATATTGCAGGTGTTGGACAACGAGGCGTTGGGTCATCGTGATTAGTTTCGATTCAAATGTTTTGTTTTGTGCAATACGAACGTAGAGAGGTTTTCAGTTGTCAGTCGTAATAGTCTTATAGCCAGGGCGGCCAAAAATCGAGGGGTCGGATTATTTTAGGGTGAATTTGAAAAAAATATAGGTTGTTATTATTAGGGAAAGTCGATTATCAAAATAAATAATCCAATTAATCGATTAAATGAAAATAATTGATTCGATTATATTAATCGATTTTTCAATTAATCGATTATTTTTTATTATTAGATGATTTTGGTTTAATCGATTGTTTTCGATTAATCGAAAAATCGATTATTTTACATTAATCAGTTAATCAATGAATGGAGGGTTTTTGATTATTTAATTAATCCAGTATATTAGTTCATTTTTCGATTATTTTTTATTAATCGAGTCGATTGTTTGCGACTAAATGAAAATAATCGATTAATTGAAAAGTATCGACTGGTATATCAATCGATTTTTCGAGTAATCAATTTTTTTCAATTAATCGGTTAATAGATGTTGTTTGCTTAATCGATTGTTTTCGATTAATGGATTTTTTCGATTAATCGATTTTTTCGAATAAATGATTTTTTTAATCAATAGATGATTTTTATTTAATCGATTGTTTTCGATTAAAAAATCGATTATTTTCCTTTGAATCGGTTATTCAATGAATGGGGAGTAGTTTCGATTATTCAATTAATCGGGTATATTATTTTAGATTAATAAATGATTTTTGTTTAATCGACCGTTTTCGATTAATCAAAAAATCGATTTATTTTCGTTATGCAGTTATTCAATGAATTGGGTATTATTGATTATTCAATTGATTATTTTCGTTTAATCGATAATTTTTGCTTAATTGATTGTTTTCGATTAATCGAAATATCAATTAATCGAGATATCAATCGATTTTCCGATTACTAGGTTGTTTTTGATTAATTGAAAGAACAATTATTTTTAAATAATAGAATATCGATACTATTTAATTGATTTTTAATCTTTCATTCGATTATTAATAATTTATTATTAATTATTATTAAATATCTAATTCAATTATTATTAATAAAGTAATCAAGTGATCAATAGTACTAGACAATTATCAGAATTAATAAATTATTTATAATTAATCGATTAACTGATAATATTCAACAAACGGAGTATTTTCGAAGTCAATAGAAAATCGATTATTTTCGATTAATCGTTCAATTGAATATTTCCGAATAATCGGATTATCGATTATTAAAACAATCGATATCTAATTGATTTTTAATATATCGATTATTAGGTAAATATCTAATTTAATTATTATTAATAAAGTAATCAAATATTAAATTAATCGATTTATTGACAATCGATTATTCAATAAATTGAGTATCTTCGATTATTCTCAAATAGTCGATTTTTGGATAAATCTATTTTCGATTAACCGATTATTTCTGATTAAT